CACCGCCACGGGCATCCGTTTCACTTCCATGGTCGCCCCGGATTCCTTGATGGCGTCGTTCCAGCGTCGCCGGGACAACCAGATTCAGGGGCTGGAGCTCCTGTCTATCGCGCTGGGCATGTGCACCTTTGCAGGCATTGCTTTCGCGTGCGACTGCCCGCGCCGGCGGGCAGGTCCGGCCCCTCGTCTTCGCTGCGCTCAGGGGAAGTGCAAGGTTGCGACTTGCATATTTACAGCGACAATACCGGCGCGGAGTCTTGCCTGCGGAAGGGCGCCGCGAAATCCTTCGACCACTCGTGCATCGTCCACTCCATGTGGAGGCGCGCGGTGGAGCTCGACGTTGACCTCGCGGTTTTCCGCGTGCCCACGGCTGAGAATCTGGCCGATTTGCCTTCTCGGCGCGCCCGTGCGCGCCGCGCGGTGCTGCGGGCTGGCCGCGGGCGCAGCGTGTCGCAGGGGGGGCGACGAACTCCTGCTACGCATCGGCGCGGTGCGCACGCGCCCGTGGCTCGACGAAGAATTCTGGCACGCGGATGCCTGGGGCGCTCTCTCTGTGGCCCGCCTCTTCGGCTAAACCGCGCGCCATGTCGCGCCCGGGTGCCATCTTGTGCGTCGGGGCGTCGCGATACTTAAGTTTGGGCGCGGCAAAGCGTTCGGCGCGCCGCCGCGCTTGTCATCCTAGGGTCCCGCGTTTTGTGCCTCAGGCGCGTCGCTCGCATTGTCAGGCGTGCCGCGCGGCATCATGTCGTTATTCCTTGAATTGTGTTCCTTGCGCCCGACAGCGCCCAGGACGGCCGTCGCCTGGGCTGCTGATTTCCTGGCTGAGAACGGCTTCGCACGAGCCTGCGAGCTCGCCAGTGCAGACGCCGCAGACCTGGAAGGTTGGCCGGTCACCGCGCAGGCCAATGTCGAAGTCCTGCACGAATTATTCAGAGCCGCGAAGATTGCTGCGCGCCGAGGCTCGGCTGCGCGAGGATTTTTGGCGCGCGCGCCCCCCCCCCGCCGCGCGTGCGCCTCGCAGGCGCGCCCGTCGCCGTGGGCTCGGCAGTTGGAGGGCGCGCGCCCGCCCGCAGCCAGTCGCCGGCGAGACGCGCGGCGCCGAGCGCCCCGGGGTCACCCCCTGGGCCGCCGCAGGCGCGCGTCATCGGCCCCGCGCGCTTGCGCATGCCCGCGCGCCGTGGCTCGCGAGGCGCCCGTCCCGAGCGTCCTCGACCAGCTGGGCGGGCCGGTCGCGCTGCCAATAACGCGCGGGCCCCGGGCGGCGGCGCTCGCCGAGGCCGCTGCTCGCCTCCGCAGTCCGGCGGACGCGGCCCGCTGGCGGGAGGAGGAACGCGTTCGCGCTATGCTGCCGACGCCGGCGACGCGCCGCCCTTTCATGCGGCGCTAGTGCTGGGCAAATCGGAGCTCACGCTGCTGCTGCGGCGGCGGAAGAACCGGCCGCAGGGCAGTCGCCTGTCGCGGAAGTGCTGGTGCCGCGCCACGTGCCCCGTGCACACCCTGGGCCCTTGGGTGGCGCGTTGCGGGCTGGGCCGCGGGCTCTTCGGAGGCATCTCGGCGGCTGCTGCGCTGCGGACCCTGCGCGAGATGCTCGCTGCCCTCGGTGTCCAGGGGGCGAGCCTGTTTCGGTTGCATGACCTCCGCAGGGGCCACGCCAAGGACCTGCAGGAGGCTGGCGCGACGCTGGCCGAGATTCTCGCGGCCGGGGAGTGGCGGTCCTGCGCTTTCATGGCGCATCTCGACCGTGACGATCTGGAAAGGGACGCGGTCGTGGAGGCGGGGCCACGCGCCCTCCGCCCGCGCCGCGGCGCGCTGCTCGCGCCAGGCGCACATGCTGGAGTCGGATTCGGACGAGGGTGCCTGCTAGGCGCCGGCGGCCAGCGCCGCCACGTTTCGCTTCTGTGCGTGGGCGGGTGCGCGCGACGGCGCCCGTGCTCTGCCCCCGCGCGTTCGGCAGCGGGTGGGCGCGCGTTGCCGGCCCGTGTCGCCTGCGTGCCGTGTGGCATTGGGTCTGCACGCAGGCGTGGCGCGAGGCCGCCCAAGCGGCGGTGCGTCGGGCCTGGGCCCGTCGCAGCCGCCCGCGGGGGGCAGCCTCGCGCCGCGCCGCTCCCACCGACGGCGGCAGCAGGCGGGGTCGAGGCCCTGCGCGCGCGGCTCGATTTGCGGTAGGCCCTGACCAGGCCTCGCTGCGCCACGGGGCGCGAGGGCGAGGGCGATGCGCGCGTATGTTCCATGGTTGGTTTCCTCCATTGCCGCAGTCCGATCCCAGCGCGCCTTCTCACGTGGTTCCAACAGGGACCCCAGGGAAAGGAACTTTTGAGACCGGCGATGCCGATTTCTCACGTCTGCTCGGCTTCACTCACAGGGTCGCCGCATGACGCTGTCACTCGCACTTCTCGAAGTCAGTATGAGATGCAACGCCGCGGTCTCAGCAGTCCCTTTCATTGGCGTCCCTGTAGGAAACGCATCGTCCTCCTCTCCTGGTCTCACATCGCTGCGCGCTGCGTCGAGCGCTGCATTATGCGCGGCTGCTCGCGAACGCGCGAAGTGGCGACCGTGCGCGCGCGGTGCCGAGCCGCGAAATTTCACGCGTGAGCCGTGGATGTTGGATTTGTCGTCTGGTTTTGGCGCGTGGGCCCAGAACATCGCAGTGTTCTCTGTGGGCCCCAATCTAGCACGTGCTAAGGGGCGCATTGCGCGCGGCGCAGTCTGGGCGCATCGCGACGCATCCTGGACAGGGGCACGCCGCCCAGGACGCAGCGCCCAGTGTCGAGCCTGTACCCCGTGGTCTGCAGCGATGGGGAAGCGAATCTTCTCCGCTCGCCGAGGCGGTGCATTGTCGCCGAGGCGCATGCAACTCCAGCATAGAGTGCAGTGCGACAGCGCAACATGTTTTTTTTTGTTTTCCTGGGCCGCGCTCTTAGTAAATCTCTTGAGGCGCATGGCGAAGTGCATTGACGGTGGCTCAGGGAAACCAGGATTCCGCTCCCAGTCGATTCCCGCCCCCTCGAGCTCGCCCACCCGCAAGAAGCGCGCAGACATACGCAGGCGCGCGCGCGTTGGACGCATGCAGCAACCTGTGGGACAAGTGCCTGATGCGACGCGCAAGCGTTTGACAAGCGAGGCAGGGCGGCCGCTGGCATTTAAGGCGAAGCTCAACGATTACGCCGCGGGTCCGACTCCGAATGGGCGAAGCGTCCTGCGCGCGCAGAAATTCGCGCACGCCATCAGCCCGCGCGGCCCGGGGCGGAATTGCGGCAGGTTCTTTTGCCTTTAGGCTTGCGCTTTCCGAGGGGGGGGGGCTGCAGCCATGGCTCTCTGCGCGTTGTGCGCCGTCGCTGCGCTCGTGCAGCTCCATGGCGCCGCCGCTGCGGCTGCCGAGCAGGGCGTGGGCGGTCGCCCCGCGACGGCGCTCGCGGGCTGCCCCGAAGTGGATTGCGCGAGCGCCCGAACTGGCCTGGCCGAGGCCGTGCGCGTGCAATATGATTTCGCCGCGCGGGTCAGACCAACGCGACCGCGTTGGCGCGCGCGCGGCCTTCGCTTGCGTGGCAGGATACGAGCGGCAGCGGGCCAGACGTCCGCGCCTTCCAAGGAGCGCAGGGCACGCCCAGATTTGCTTTTCGCCCCGCGCTTCGCGTCGTAGCCAGCGCGAGATGGCGGCTCTACGAGCAGCCGCTCGGCGCCGCGAGTTGCGGCGCCTCGCCCAGTCCAGGGGGTCGGCGCCCTGGGGCGCGGCGAGTTGCGCGGGGGGGGCTTTGCAGACGCGCAAAGCTTCCGCGGTCGACTTGCCCATCTCGTCGGCGAGGCTGAAGCCGACGCAGACATGGCGTCCAAGTTTGCGCGCGCGGCGAACCAGATTCTCGGCGCTTCGCAAGAGGAGCGGCCGCGCACTCAGCGTCGCAGACGCGGCGCGCCGCCGCGACGGCACTGCAATGCGCGAGGGGGTTGGCGGCATGCAAATCGCGGGCACCTCTCCGAAGTTCTTCGGCAGTCCGAGCGCGCCAGCCCAAGAAGGCGCGCCTCCGCGCAGGGGCGCGCGCGCGCTGCGTGCGGCTCCCTCGCGCGGGCCGCGCCGCGGTCGACGCGCGCGCCGCCATCTCGCGCGCGCGTCGGCTCGAGGGCTGCGACGCGCGAGCGCAGCGGCGTTCGCGTCGGCGCGAAGCGGGCAAGACGTGTCCGACATCGAGGCGGAGACCGTTCGCCTGGACGCTCTCAGAAAGGAAATATCAGAGCTCGCGCCGCGTCTAGGGGCGGGGGGGAGGAAGGCGCGCGACGCGCTGGTTCGGTTATTACATGAAGTTTCCGAGCCAAGCGCCAAGCCCATGATGAAAGCCATGGGCGTGTTAGCGTCGGCGTCGCGGTTGATGAAATCCCCGGCGAGCGATGTGGAGCTCCAGCGCCTGGCTGGCTCCATCATAACTCGCTTGACGGGGATGCCTGTCTCTTCTGAAATATCGGACGATACCTCGGGGTCGCGCGGACAGGTCAACATCGTCGTCCCTCGCGCGTCTCGCGTATACGGTCCCGACAGGGCACTGCTCGCGCCATCGGCGCGCTCTGGCAACGCGCGGGCGCGCGCGCTGCCGTAGCCCGCGGAAGCTTTCATTCTTCCAGCCAGCGCTGGGCGCCGGCCCGCGCGTGAGTTCGCTCGGCGCAAGAGAGGCGGCAGGGCTCAGCTGCGAGACGACGGAACGCTCGCTGCGCCGTTCGTGGCGCGGGCGGCCCCGCGGGAACGCGCGCGCGCGCCTAGGCGTTCCGCTCCACTTTCGCTTGCCCCGGCTTTGGGTTGGGTCGGGCTGGGCACGCGTGGCTGGCCGCGGGGGGCGCGTGGGGGGGGGGTGAGCCTAAACTAACACGACCCGAAAGCCGTCTGTCTCCTAAGCCGCGCCGAGGGCCGTGTGGGGGGGGGGGCCCGTGGAATTTGAGAGGGAGGCGGCCCCGTTGCCTCGTCGGGGCAAAGGAGCAGCCCGCACATATTCGGAGGGACCTCCGCGCGCCGGGCGATGGCGAGCAGACGGGCCAAACTGGATCTGGAGCGCGGGTGGCCGCAGCTGGAGCGCCCGCTTTGCGGGCGCGTACCGCTGGACCCGCGCGCCGCGCCGGAACCGCCGGCAGCGGGCGGCGCGGCTCCGCCGCCAGAGGCGCTCGCGCATCGGGGGCACGGTCAAGGCAGCGGCAGGAAAGCGCTGAAAGGGCACATGCTCTGCGGGCGCCAGCCTCTGCCCGCGCCGGCGCAACTGGAGCGGCCCCCGTGCGGTCGCCCGCCGATTGGCCCGCGCCCTGCGCTGGGGCCGCCGCCGGAGGACGAGCCGCTGGCGCGGCCGGGGCAAACTACTGGGCAGAAGCGCGCTGGAGTCATTATCTGGGCGATGCCGTTGGAGCGCTTCCCCTGCGGGCGCCAGCCGCTGCCCCCGCGGGCCGCTTGCTGGGGCACCGCGCGGCTGGGCGGCGACTCGATAACCGCCAGGTCGACCGCCGGCGGCGTCGCGCAACCGCGCCGGGCGCCGCCCGAGCGCTCAGGCGCCGCCGCGGTGCCGCTTCGCGCGGAGAGATCGCGCCGGCGCGAACTCGGCCGGGGCAAGCGCCGGGCGGGCATCGCCGCCGCAGGGAAGCGCGCGCCTCGCGGCGGCCGCGCCGCTGGGTTTCGGCGGAAGGCCGCCCTCCGCTGGAAAGACAAGCGGGACGAGGGCATTGCGCGCGCCGCCAAGTGCTGGGGCAACATTCTGGCGAGCACTGGCGGCCCCACGCAGGAGCTGCTTACCGCGATGCCCCCAGACCGTAGGGCAAGGCATCTGCAGAGGATGCTCCGGCGATGGAGCCACACCACGCTGCAGCGGCACGCGTCCAACGTCATGGCATTCACCGTGTGGCACCGGGCAAAGCGAGAAGGCTCGCCATTCGCGGCGCTCCCGAGCTGCGAGCAGGCGACCCTCCGCCTGATCGATTACGTCGATGACTTCATTGACGCAGACGTCAACGCGACGGTGCCGAAGGCGCGGCTGGCTTCGTTGGCGTTTCTGGCCAGGCTTGCCCAGATCAGCGACCGGCTGCCCACGGAACACGTCGCCGTCAGCACGGCGGCGGCAGCCCATTACCGGGAAACAGCAACAGCGGGGCATAGGGCACGCGCTTACACGGTGGAGCAAATCCGCACCTTGGAATGCGCTGTCAAAAAGCCCCCGTCTGCGCTGTCGCGGATCACCGCGAGGAACGAGCTCAGGAAAGTGCACGCATCCCTGCGCAATGATGACAGCATCTGGGACTCACCGAGCGCCTGGCGCGCTGCGGGCGGCGAGCGCGGCTTCCTGTACGGGACCGCGCACAAGACCAAGGGCGCGGAGGCCACCAGCACGCGCCTCAGCCCAGAGATGCCCTGGTCCGCGCCGCTGCGGGGCGTCTGCACCGAGCCTTCGCGGTGGGCGCAGGGATACCTTGAGGACTGCGCCGAGCTCGGCATCGCGGATCAGGAGTACGCTGCGCCGGCCCCGTGGGCCGCCCGCGCTCGGCTAATTCCCCCGGGGGCCACGGAACCAGACGAATGGGTCACGCAGGTCCGAGTCGTCCTGCAGGAGGCCGGAATCCCACGAGAACAGGCGGCGGGCATTTCGCTTCACTCGGGAAAGAAAACCGCACTGACATGGGCGGGCACGTCGGGGAAGTTCTCGGAAGCAGACCTTGCGATACTCGGACACCACCGCAGCGCAGGGGTGGGCAAGTGCGTGCGGGCCTACAATATGTCAGAGCTCTCCGCGCCGATAGCCAAGCTCGCCTCACTGCTCGAAGACATCGCAGCAGGGAAATTCCACCCCGACGCGCCACCGGGCCTTCAGTGGGGCCCGGCGCCACAGCAGCCCGTGCCATTGCAGCTGCCAGCGCGCCCAGACGCCGGCCGGGGCCCGAGCGACGCCGCCAGCCAGGACATGCCCGCAGCATCGCCGCGACAACGCCAAGCCCGCCGAGGCGCAGGCGCCCCAGCCCCCGGGGCCGCGCCGGACCTGCGGGTGGGATGGCCACGCGAAGGCGAGTCCGCGGACGAAGCCCCCAAGGCACGGCTCGGGTTCCTTGTCAGCGACAACATCAATCCCAGCAGGCCTCGGTACGTGCACGAGGCGATCATCGCCCCCGCAGCGGATTCCAAGCGGAGGCGCACGGCCCGCCTGAGGGCCCAGACGCCCCACGGAGTCGTAACGACCCTGTGCGACAACACCCTGCAGAGCGCCTCGTGGTCGCAGGAGTGCCCCCGCGGTGCCGACCTCCGCACCTGCCTAGTCTGCCGTGCGAGAGCGACCAACCGACGTGGTGGAGCGCCATAGGCTTGGTTTCGCCGTCCCAGTGCGGGACAGAGCGTGCTGGCCAGGCGTGGCACCGTCGCTCCCACAGCGGGGCAGGGCGTGCCGGCCCACCAGCGGAGCCGGCCCAGGCGGGCGGCGACCGCTGGATCGCGAGAGCACTCACGGAGCGGGAAAAAGAAAGCATAGGGAATCACAATAACAAAATCAGATCGCGGTCGAAGGGTGGAGCGCCCCCGTCGTCTGCCTGCGCTTCCTGGGCACCTCGTTGCCGACAGCGCGCGCGCGCGGCGGCTCGTTCGCCGCCCGCCCGAGCGGGCGGTGAATCAGCTGCTGGCCGTTGGCGGGGCCCGGGAGGCGGAGGGACGCCGAGCGGGGAAGCCCACCCGGCCATCCTGAGATGCAGAGTCCATCGTGCATCCATAAGCCGACACGGAAAGCCGCGGCCGCGCCCCCGCCGGCCCTGTCCCTGTTGCGCGAGCCTGCGGGCCGGCGCCAAGGGGGCGGCGGGGGCGCGCGGCGCGGCTCTCATTGTCGCCCGAGTGGAGACGGCCACTGTGCAGCGTGCGCTGCCACCTCCCCGGCTCCTCCGCGCCGGCGTCGTGGCCGCGTGGCGGCTGGCTGACCGCCTGCGCTCGCAGGTGGTCTTGCAGGTGCCGCGCCGTCGGCCTGGTTGGGGAAGCGGCGGGGCACGCGCGCGGTGCGTCGTCCCACAGCATCCAGCCCAGCACTCTCCTTTCCGCTTCGAGCGTCGCTGCGTCGTGCTACGGGCCCGCTCTTCCCTGGCAACCCGGCCGCGACGCGTTCGCGGCGTGGCGGGGGGTCGGCTGCCCGCGCGCAAGGGTTGTTGATCCCCTGCCCGCCGCTGGCGTGGCCAGGGAAACCGCGCGGCACCGGGGACGGACGCACTTCTGTCACTGTGCAAGCGTTTTGACTACGAGCAGCCGTGCAGTAAAGGAAGCGTGGCCTCTCCCGCGTCTCTCTGAACCAGCGCTGGGAAATCACGGGAAGGCTGCGGGTCATGCCCGCCGCCTCGTCCTCTCTGCGCGCGCCGGCTGGCCGACGCAGGTGGGGCGGCGGGCGCGGGCCCGCGGCCGTCGGCGTGAAATCCCGAGCGTGGGGGTCTGCTTCCCGCGTCGTCTGCTCACCTTCCCTGGGCCCCCCCGCTCGGCCGGCGCCCGTCCTGCGCGGCGGGTGGGTCGTCGTCCGCCTTCGCGGGCGGCGAACCACCTGCCCGCCGCCGGCGCGGTCCAGGGACCGCGGCGGCACCACGCGTGGAAGCGTCGCTCGCGCACCCGCGCAAGTCTGCAAGAGGCGTTTTCCCGGAGCCTCCGTACGTAATGTGGGGCGACGGAAATCCGCGCCCGTGCGCCCGCCATCCCGGGTGTGCCTCGCGTTTCGGCGTGGCTGCGTGGCGGGGCGGCGGGCGCGTGCGGCGCGGCTTTCCAATTTTCTTCCCCAGTCGCAAGTAGCCCCTCCGTTCAGCATGCCCACGCCTCCTCGCCCGCTTCTCGCCGGCGTCGCTGTCGCGCGGCGGCTGGCCAGCCGCCTGCTCCGGGAGGTGGTTGGCCAGCGGCCCGCCGTTGGCCGGGTCGAGGAGGCGCAGGCCATGCGAACAGAAGCGCCGCCCGCGAGCCAAGGCAAGTCCGCGAAGAAGCGGTCTCCCGAAGTTTCCGTCTGAGCAAGGGAGCGGAGGAAGCCCGCGCCCGCGCGCTCGCCGTCCCAGGCCTTCCCGCGCGCCGGCGCGCCGGCGCGCTGGGGCGGCGGGCGCAAGCGGCACGGTCTTCCGATCAGACTCCGAGGCAAGGGTGGTCGTTCCGCGCCGTGTGCAAGCGCCTCCTCGGCTCCGCCCCCGCCGGCGTCTTTGCTGCGGTGCGGTTAGCCAGCCGCTCGCCGCGGCGTGCGGCTGGCCAACGGCCCGCCGTCGGCAGCGCCGGGGAGGCGACGGGCACCGCGTGCGGGGCGCCCCACCAAGCCGGTAGAGTTCAGCTGGCCCGCGCGTTCCTGGTGGTTGCGAGCCCCCCGGGGCATCGTAACCACCGGGGCGGGCCAGCCAGAATATTCTTTTTGGCACTCTGCCCGCAGCCGCCATATCGTGCTCAAGCGCAGCGCCAGCTACACGGGCGCTGCGAACACCACCGACTCGAACCGCGGGAAGATGTCGAGCACCTTCGCCGACGCGTACGCCGCGCTCCCTGCGGAGGTCCAGGCGTGGGTTACCAACAATGGCCTCACTGACCGCGGAACGGTGGCCGACTCCGTCACCCCAGAGTACCTGCGCGACCATGCGGGCGCCACCGTAGTGAAGCCCGTGGACATCATGTTCGTTGAAACCGTCGCGGGCGCGCTCCCCGAGATCGTGAAGAAGGGGTCTGCGGCGTGGGCGAAGACGCTGGGCTTCTACCGGAAGTGCTACGCCGCCAGCACAGAGACCGCGAACAAGCCTCCCGACCAGGAGGAGGTGGCGCCCATCGAGGCGAAGGATCCGGGCCACGAAGACAATTACGAGCTGATTCTGGATTACCGCGAGAAGCGGCTGAAGGCCTTCTTCGAGGCGAGGCGTCACGACGTCGAGGACGCCCGCTTACCCAGCGCTCGCCTCTGGGGCCGCTACGAGCGCCTGCGCCGCGTCCAGAAGGAGTTCGTCCCCCTGCTTGCGGACAAGGTCCAATCCGAGGAAATCGGCAAGAAGACCGGCCTCGCCAGCTTCCTGGGGCCCGTCCAGAACGGGGCGCTCGCCTGGAGGCTCCCAGCCATACAGGAGGCCCCACCTGACACACTGGAAGACCTCGAGACGTGGGCGTACATCATCGAGAACTTGATCTTTCTCGTAGGGTGGGTCAAGGACATCAAGTCCCTGGACGTCTTCCACCAGAGATTCTGGGCGAAGGTCCGCAAGAACCGCGCGCCGCGACCGGGGTACTGGAACCTCTCTGTCGCAGAGTACTACCAGGCGTACCTGGTGTGTCAGAACCAGTGGCGCAAGCGTCGAAGGCCGGGGACACGATCGACGACGCGATCCTCGCGTCCATGCCCCCAGAGAACAGCGACCTCGACGTCACACTCGCCATGGCGCCGCGTCTCGTCGCGCAGCCCCGGGCACCCGCGCTCGGTACCAACGGCGGCGCCCAAGCCGCCCACGCCGGCATGGCGGGCAGCATCGTGACCGCGCCGCCCCTCGCCCTGACAGACGCGGGCCAACCACCAACCAAGCGCAGGCGTCTCTCGAAAGCACAGCGGCTGCAGAACCGGCTGCAGCAGCTTGCGCCCGCAGGCCCAGAACACCGCGGCGACAAAGGCAAAGCCGCCGGCAAGGGCAAGCCGGCCGGGGCAAGCAAGAAGGGCAAGGGCGCGCGCAAAGGCACCGCGCACGCACACCCCGCGGCGGGCCAGCCCGAGCCGACCAGAGGAGGCGGCAAAGGAGCGTGGTGCGTAAGGCACATCGAAGGGAATTGCCAGCACGGCGACCGCTGCTGGCATCGCCACGAGTGACTAGGGGCTGCAGGCTCCGCGCAACAGGGGCAGCCGGAGCCGAGCACGACAGGCGGCCCTGCGAGCGGCCGCGCCCCGCCGTTTGCCCGCGCACCACGGGCACCGCGCGGCGGCGCGACCGACCCAGCCGCGCCCCCACCGGCAGCATGCCGACAGTTTCACCCCGCCACCGACGACTGGGCTCAAAGCCGTCCACAGCGGGACCCACCGCAGTTTCACACTGGGGCGACCGGCCGGGACCAGCGCCGGAAGCTCAACCCGCGGGCGCGCACCAGCCCGCAGAGCCGCGCCACCGCGGCCGCCACCGCACAGCCCACGAGGGGCGGCCCAGCTCCACGCCCGCGCACGAGCGCCAGCCCGCCTCAGCACCGCGGCGCGGGCACCCTCGCGTCCTCAGGCGGCACCACCAATGCCCCAGACCAAACGGGCAGCACCTGCAGCGGCATCACCATGGTCGATTATGCAGCGAGGCTCCACGACCCTGCGGCCGAACAAGAATTCGACGCCGTCGACACAAACCAGCTGCCGCCCTACGCGCCGCCGCCCGCCGACCCGCGCAGCCAGCAAAGCGCGCGCAGAGACGCCATGCCGTGGTACGCCGAGGACACTGTGCCCCCGCCACAGCACCCTGCCGCGCCAGGCAGAGCAGCTAAAGGCTTTACACAGCAGCAGCGGGCGATCTCGCCGAACCAGCACGTGGACATGGCCTGGGACCGGCAACAACGCCAGCCCGCGCCCCAGTGGGCGGAACCGCCCGCCGTGCGCCCGCCAGCGCCCATTCGCAGCGCACTGCTCTGGGCGCGCGACTGCCCCGACTACGAACGCTGGGTAATCGGGCAGGTGCAGTACTGGAGGCGCGCCGAGGCATCCCTGGGCGATGCGACACGCGCCTGGCGCACCGGCCTCTCACAGCACGTCAAAGACGTGTTGCCGCCAACATACAACGGCCCGCTGCACAGGGAGCTGCTCCTGGCTTCCGGCCATGACGACACGGAGGTCATCGCCGACATCATGGCGGGCTTCCGCATGCGGGGCGTCCTCCCAGACACGCGGCTCTACGAGCACACCGACAGCGCAGATCTGCCTGACGCCGCCGAGCTGGACAGCGCTCTCGAGCTGGCACTGGGCAACAGAGATGCCGCACCTCGGGAAATGCTCCTGAACACTAAGCGGGAGCCAGACATGGCCGAGGTCCTCCGGGTCACCGAGGCCGAGCGCGTGTCGGGCAAGCTCGATGGGCCCTGGGAAGTATGGCTCGACCACACCGGCCAGGTGCGCTCCACCGTGCCGTTTGCCAGATGGTTACCAACGCGGCGCTTCCCGCGCGTCCAGAACCGCACGGCCACTTCATACAAGGTCCGGCCCATAGACGACGCCACGGCAAGCGGCCTGAACCTCGCAGCAGCCACCCAGGAGCGCATGAGGATGGCAGGCATCGCCTCTCTCCTCGATGCGGTCGCGTTCATAGCGGAGGAGTTCCACGAGTGGGGCGATGACGGCGTCCCCCTCATCGCCAAGGGCGACCACGCGCAGGCCTACCGACAATGGCCGGTACATCCAGATGACATTCCATTGCTGGTGTGCTTGGTCTGGGACGACACCGTGGGTCCAGAGGGCGGATTCCGCGCCTTCGCGCACAAGGCGCTCCCCTTCGGGGCCTTCGGAGCAGTCTGGGGGTACACGCGCGTCGCCGCCAGCGTGATTCACCCGCTCCGCCGCATCTTCAGCGTGCCCCAGAACGCGTATGTGGACGATTTCCACCGCGCCTCCCCGGCCAGGTGGGCCGCCCTGCACGAATGGGTGTTCCAGGAGCTGCACGCCATGCTCGGTATCCCGCTCAAGGACGGCAAGAACCAGGGACCAGCGGCCGTGCTGGATCTGCTCGGACTGGACGTCATCTCCACCGGGCACTGGGCGGGACTGCGCCTCACCGTCAAGCGGCGCGACGACCTGGCCGCGGACGTGGACTCCGCGCTCCGCGCGCGCCGCCTCAGCAGGCGCGACGCGGCCCGACTCGGAGGACAGATGGGCTTCGCCACCACGGCAATGTTCGGCCGTATCGGCCGGGTATACGCCTCCAACGTGTCGGCGCACCGAGGCGGCTGGTCCGAACGCCTCGCCGACGCGCTGGCGTGGTGGAAGGCGCTGCTGCGCTGCCCGATATACCACAGGCGCGTCCACGGCGACCAGCGGCCCGTCGTCCTCGGATGGGTCGACGGGTCATGGGACATGGACACCGGCACGGGGGCCATCGGGGGCATGCTGTTGTCCTCGCAACGCAGCGGCCGCAGCTTCTCTGCGCACATCCCGCAGCACCTGTGCGCGGAGCTGCTGAGGGTCGGCAAGAAGCAGCGAAACACACAGTCCGAGCTGCTCGCCGTACTGGTGCTGCTCCTCACCTGCCCCGACGAGCTCCGCGGGGCCCGGTTGATCCTCTTCGAGGACAACACGCCCGCGCTTGAAAACATCCTCAGCGGCGCCGCCAACGACGATCACAGCAAGGACATCGTCGGAGCGATCTGGCTCCTGCTGGGGGGGCGGGCCGGCCTACGCGTTTTTAAACACACTTTTACACGCCCCCTTTAAACGTTCAGATAGCCGCCTCAACTGTACTTCAGGAGTAGGGCTAGCTCGTTCTCTCTCGTGCTCGCCCCTCCGCTCCTTGCGCTAAGTTTCGGCTCGAGAAGCGGGTTTCGCGGGCGAGGCCCGCGCTCGAGCCATCAGAGAGGGGTAGCTTCCAGCCCCTGCTCGCCCCGAGCCCGACAGGCTCGGGCGCCGCCACGACGCCGGCCATCGGGCGTCCCGGCTGGCTGCTGGTGGCGGCGCTCGCCCTCTGCGAGCTCGACGGGCTTCTGGAGTTCGTCGGCGGCCGCCAGGAGAAGGCCGAGGAGGTCCTGGTCGAGCCGCTCGACCCCGCGGGCGGCGCCGGGTGGACAGGCTCGCCGGCAGGGTTCATGGCTCCCTGGAGCAGGTGGAACCGCGTCTACGTCCAGACGCAGGGGAGGAACACGGGCGTGGTGATGCTGCTCGTGAGCCGCGTCGGCCCAGGGACCTCGCTGGTGTGGACCGCAATCGATCCCGCGAAGCGCGTGCAGATCATCAACCTTCGGGACAAGGCGCGGATGCTGCCGCGCCCGAAGAAGGGGGTGACCTGGACCGAGCATCCAGGGCTGACCGAGAAGGAGAGGGAGCAGGCCATCATAGCTGCGGAGCGGCTCATCGTGCGCCACGAGCTGGGCCAGGCTGGCGCCGAGAGCGCCAAGGCGAACACGACGAAGGGGAAGAAGGCGAGCTCGAAGACCAAGGTGGCGTCCTGGTTCGGAAAGGGGCTCGTGTCGACCGTGGTGACGGCCTGGGCCCACAAGACGTGGGGCGGTACGGCGGCGGCGTTTTTCGTGGGCTGGAGGTTGTGGCGGTGGCTGCACCTCGGGTCCTTCTTCGCCGCGGGGTACCACACCATCTCCGCGGGGATGCAGGCGATCGAGGACCTGGACAACTTCCGTGAGTTCGTTGGCGAGCTGTACGAGTCAGGCGACCTTGAGCTTTGCGCGGCGTATCTGGGCTGCATCCTCATCGGGATCTACGCGGTCTGGGCCTACGGATGCTCATGCAGAAAGGAGGGCGACTCGGACAGCGACTCAGGTTCGGACTCGGACAGCGGGTCAGTGCACGCTGGCGAGGACGTGAGCGACGTGAGTGGTGACGAGCGTGACGCCAAGACCCTGTTCGCGGAGTTGGCTCGTGGGCAATCAGACTTGGCCGACGCGGTGGGCATGCTGAAGTCGAGGCTGGACGTCGGTGGCGGCGCGGGGGCGGGCCCGGCCTGCGGCGGTGGGGCTCTGGCGTCGGACCCAGGGCCGCCTCTTCCGCCCCCCGCGGAGCCGCCGCCGCCCAGAGTGGGCGAGCCCAGCACGGCCGAGGCGGACGCGTTCATCAAGAAGTTGACGGAGCACGAGGAGCTGGTGCAGCGCGACTCGGGCTTGAGCACCCGGGCGCAGGCGGGATCGCCTACGCCGAGTTCGAGCGCAGCGTCCTGGGAGAAGATCGGGGACCTGGGCGAGCTCGACGATCCCTTGAAGGACCAGATCGTTCAGCTGAAGGAGGAGTCGCGGAACCCGAAGGAGAGCCTGCTGACGACGCTGGAGAAGTACCGCCGCGTGGCGGGCTCCCCCGTGGGCGGGATCAAGGCCCGCGTGGCGCCGACGGTGTTGGCGAAGCTCTACAAGGGCGGGCGGAGCGCCCGCGTGGAGACGCAGGAGTGGCTCCGCTCCAAGGAGCTGCAGGGCGCGGGCATCGCGCAGGAGCTGAACATGCTGGCGCTGGTCCTCGACAGGATGATGAGCCAGGGGCAGTACGACGAGTTGATCAACTCGCAGGCCGCGGAGGTGACCTGCTTGCGCCTCTACTCGGTCTGGAAGGCCTACGAGCGGGTGCAGTGCAAGAGCGACTGGCAGAGGCCGAAGGCGCAGCACGGCGGCAAGTGGCGCTCCAAGGTCGATTGGAGTCTGGCGGAGGAGTACCTGCGCCTCGACGGGGACCCCAACAGCGAGAACAAGGGGGCCGACGACGAGGTGCTGGAGAAGCTCAGGCGGCGGGCGATCCTCAACAAGCACCTGGGCGAGGTGCGTTCGGGGCAGCCCGCCGGCGACGACGAATAGGTTGCGGCCGGAGCTATCGTGGTGTGCTCTGGCCAAGGCCTGAGGGGTCAATCCCCTCTACCACGGCCGCGGCGGCGAGCCGCTTTCGTGCCGAGCTTCCTGCTGGACACGTCTTTCGGTTGGTGGTGCTACATCGGGCTGGTGAGCTTCCTGACGATCGGTTGTGGGGTCTTCCACGGCGGTGTCGGTGCGTCGAGGCCTTTCTTGTACTTAGAGCCTCGCGCCGTTCTGTGGCGAGCTGGCTTTCCCGTACGTCGGAGCGCAGGTCGCTCGGCGGTCCCAGATGACTACTGGGGAGAAGGATGCGAGGGAGAGGGATCCCCTGAGGAGTCTACCTGGGCTTCCGTTCCCACTTCAGTCGAGGAGGTCGAGTTCGAGCCTGTCGGAGAAGGAGCTGAGGACAACTTGGCATCGGACTTCGAGGACGATAGCGGCGATCAGGAGTATGGCGACGGGCTGTTCGAATGGCTGGATACATCCATCGACCCTGACGGACAAGCAGACGTGCCAGACGGACTGGAGCGCGAGTACGCCGCTGCAGAAGAGGCTGGTGACGGAAGCCTGGGACCTCCACGCCGCGAGAGCGAAGTGGGGGACCATCAACGACGGCAGGGCGGCATTGAGTCGCCTGGCGGGAGGGAGCCCGACGGAGTATTTTGCGAAGGGATCGAGGTCTACGACGGCTACGGCATCGAAGACTTCACCGCAGTTGAGGAAGGGCGACCTGCGCCCTCTGAAGGCGGAGCAGGTGTCGCTCCCAGCGCCGGGGACCCAGAGCTTGGAGGTGGCGGCGATCTCGAGCCTCGCTGGGCGGTACCTCACGGAGGCCAGCCAGCTGATGATAAAGGGCTCGGGGGAGGTCGACTGGGAGAAGTACGAGGCGACGAAGAGCTACTCGGACCCGGCGTGGCGGAGCAAGAAGGTGCGCTTGGCACTTGCCCTGCGGATGGCGCAGGCTGGAATGATATCATATGTGACGAAGATACGCGAACATGTCGGGCTGTTCACGGTGGCGAAGGATTTCGACCCCAAGACTGGTGGTGTCTTGAAGTCTCGGCTGATCTGGGACTGTCGAAGAGTCAACCTGCTCTTCGTGGATCCCCCCTGGGTACCTCTGGGCAGTCCCGCGGGCCTCGCGCTCCTGGAGCTGGACGAGGCGGTGTTGCGTGGACGGCGGCTCTTCTCCTTCCAGGGCGACGTGCCGGACTGGTTCTATCGGTTGCGCTGGGGATCGTGTTTGGCGGAGTATTTTGTGGTGGAGGATGTCTCACCGCAGGAGCTGTATCAGTACGGGATGGAGCAGGGCGTGACGTTGCCGAAGCCGCGCGAGGAGGACATTGGCATTGGGGCTTCGAGCTTAGTCATGGGCTCGGCGTGGGCGGTGTTCTTGGCCCACAGCTGCTTGGAGGCGAGCTTCGAGTCCCTGAAGGCCCCCAGCTTGACTTACGGCAAGCCCACCCCGTTTTTTGGCCTATCGGAGGAGGAGGCGATCAGGTTCTTGCTGATGCTGTACATCGACGATTACATCGGCTTCACCCTCGAGGGCGAGGACGGCGAGCTGAGGATCCTGGAGGACAAGGAGATGATCAAGGAGCTGCTGAACGGCAAGGGGCTCGCGGTGCACAAGGAGGCCTGGGGGGAGGGGATGGAGAATGGCCTGGGCCTGTGCATTGCTGCTACGAGACCCTACACACTGAGGATCCAGCCGAAGAAGATGGAGCAGGTCGTGTCAGCTACGGAGGCGGCGGTGTTGGAAATGTCTCTCAGACCTGCAGCAGTGGCTTCTTTGGTGGGGCACTGGGCTTGGACCATGATGGTCTTCCGCCCCTCGTTTGCGATTCTGGACGCGACCTACAGGTGGCTGAGGGAGTTCACCGAGGAGGAGAGTGTTGTGCCACATCGCCTGCCCGAGGAGGTCAGGAGCGAGTTGAGGGCCGTTGCGTCACTCTCGGTCTACATGGAGTCGAACCTGGAGATGGGCTGGTGGCCGAGGGCATATATGACGGATGCGTCCAACGAGGGCTTCGGCGCCCTGGCTTGCGACTGCACGGAGGAGGACGTCCGACGGGAAGCTGCCCGAGGAGATGGGGGAGCTTGGGGACCCTTGGCCGAGCAGAGCTACACCGAGATCGAGCGGGCGCAGGAGGCGATCGGCGAGGAGGAGGACCTCCCGGCCGCTCCCACCATGGGGCGACCTGGAGTGCTGGAGCTCTTCGCTGGGAGCTCTCGCTTGCTAGACGCGATCAGGGAGCTGACCGACTCGTGGGGCGAGGCCTGGGACATCCAGCGGGGCGTGGAGTTCGACGTACTGGTCACGGAGAACCTGGAGCTGCTGTTACGGAGGTTGAGGACTGGCTGGTTCTGGCGGGTGCATGTCGCCCCCCCGTGCGCGACGTTTTCGAGAGCAAGACAGCCGCCACTGAGGTCGAGCGATCATCCTTGGGGGCTGCCGGACTGCACGGAGACGGACCAGGCCAAGATCGACGAAGGGAACGCTTTGGCTTTGATAGCAGTAGAGGTGGTCAAGATCTGCCTACGCCTTGGCATTGGATTCACCCTCGAGAACCCCAGGACCAGCATGATCTGGGCGTTCGCGCCACTGACCGCTCTCTTGGATCTCGAGGGGGTTTTCCGTGTGGAGGTGGATTACTGCATGTACGGCGAGGAATGGAGAAAGCCAACTACGTTCATCACCAATGTGAAGAAGATGGCGACGCTGCAGCGGGTGTGCTTGTGCTCTTCGGGCCGCTGCAGTCGGACTGGCCGAGCTCACCGAGAACTACGAGGACGATCACCATGTGGGCTACGGTGGACTCAGGTGGCCTGTGCTTACCCGCTGGAGTT